TTTGACATGCTGCTCAATTGAGAAATAGAGATCAGAATTCTATGAATTCAACTCATTGTGGCGAGTTTTTTTAGAGGTATACCAAATGGGACCGGCCAAGAAGTATGTACGGTCACTACTCGACACCCCTGTTGACACCTGAGTAAGGCCGCCGTCACCCATTTCGTCTCAGCAATTGACGGACAGTGGGTGTTAAGTTGTCTCTTTAACGGTTAGTTAAAAACACTATGCCACGAAACATTAGTCTTTGTACTTCAAAACTGCTGTCAAAACACAATAGAAATTTTGGGAGCCATCCAAGTACCCGCGACTTAGCCGAATCGCGACTTACCGAGGCGCGACTTAGCGAGGGGCCACTGTATTACCAATTTTATATGGCCGTGTGATCCATCGTATTTTTTCAACGGTCGTTCTATAAATTTTTGATTGTATTTATTCTTATTTTAACATCATAAAAACAAAAATGACACACTTGTACATGAAACAGTAGGTAATGAACTGTAAATGCGGGCGGTTGCTCTGTCAGACGAGCGAGCGAGCGAGCGATTGCGCGAGCGGGTACTTCCGGATTTGCGCGGTCGAATTGAACAAAGCGAGCGAAAAAAAAGCGATCGAAATCCGGAAGCGGGCGGGAGGCTGGGCGAAATGAGTACTGTAACTGCAAAGACTCCCATTCGCACACGGGAGTCAAAAACAAACAAGATGCCTGCCAGTCGGCCATGTTTTATCCAATTGCGAAAGAAATTATCATGGGCATGTATCCTAACATGTATAATACACTGTATGTACCAAGTTTGAATGAAAATTGACAAAGCATGTCCAAAATACAACATTTTCAAAAAACAAGATGGCTGCCAGTCGGACCTTTTGAATCAAAACGCTAAACCACTGCATGTGCATATGTCCCACATAAAGTACGAGGCCCATGCAAAGAATGAAATCGGTCCAAAGGATTCTGAAATATGACTCCGAACGGACACACAGACAGACGCACGAACGGAGACCGAGTTATAAGTTCCCGTTTTAGGACTTCGTCTGAATGGGGACTAAAAAGATGGTTCTTGTTGTCTTTGTAGTTACACTTACAGTGCACATACCAGATTACTCTATTTGATAAATTGAGAGGAAGATGTCAAAAGTCAAATGATTTACACTTACCGAATCGTAATAAAGTACATCTTTATAAACTCTCATGAGTGTAGTCTGTACAATATTTAGATTTTCTCCAGTAACTACTATTTTGGTTCCACCACTGGAAAGTAAATCATTGCATTAATTATCTAATGTGAATATTAATTATTTCTGAATTTAATACAGAAGAAAAAGGAAAGAAAGAAAGTCCAATGAGCATGTTATACATCATGAAGAATCTACAGATCTCATTATTGATAGTTTTGTACATTTGACTGTCAGAACTGAATATGACTGATCAGAACTGGATTTAATGACCAGAACTGGAAGCAACTGGTCAGATCAGAGTGTGACTGGTCAGAACCAA